AAATTTCACTAAAAACTGACTTTTTTTAAAGAAAATATTCATTTGCATTACTCCAATTATTATAAATCATGGAAAAATATTGGCATGAATTTTAGTTTTACGCAAAAAAATAAAAAAAATGAGAAATACAGACTATTTCTCATAAAATATTACTATTTTCTGGACGAATTCATCTTTACTAGGCAAATTCAAAGGTTAGTGTAGATCACATCCACTGGAATACTCTGGCTTTTATGTATACTTTTATACAGTCAATAAAGTGCGCCCTCTCTAATGAGATTAGTTTTTGTACTTCGTATCTCGCACAATGCGGTCGTTCGATTAAGGATGAGATATGTTTGTTTAAGTGTCAAAATCTCAGTCAGAATCAGTTTTTTAACAAATTTGAAATAATTCCTATGAAATACTATTTTTCACAAGTGTCAATACTAGCAACGGAAAATATCATGTCGGCTGTTTTTATGTGTGATAACAGAACCTAAATCGAGGTAAGGCTAGGCCTAGGAATACAGATAATTTCGGTCGCGCTTCGTTTCGGTCGCGCTTCATTTCGGTCGCGGTTTGTTTTCAACAAATATATGGAGAGCCAATGCTTAATTTAATATAACTAGGCCTAATTATCATTGCAAGTTCGTCAATCGGTTTATCATACTTTTATTATTTATGTTTTGTTGTATTTCTAATAAGTAACAACAGGCTACTTAAAAGCAAATAAAATTAATACTATTATTACTAAACTATCAATTAATATTAATATCGGACGGTTTTTATTTTCGTTTTGTTATGAATCCTACGCTTTCTACTACATAACAAATACAGCAAATAAAATAAATACTAAAATATGATATGATGTTATATATAATTATTATTATTATTGTTATTATTATTATATTATTATTTTATATATTTATTTACATTGTATCTGGAAAAACCAGCCAATTTGTCATTTAAATTACTGTAACATTAGTTTATTAACAATTATTTTTTATTAGTATTAAAGTTTGTTATTGTTACTATATTATTACTGTATAACTTGGTGCTATTTTTCTTTTTTACAGAAACAGCGCAGATGTTACGAAGTTGACCGAGTTTGACATAACGTTTTTTTGTTTCTTGCTATATATATTGATATAATTTTTATTAATGCTTGAATCAAATAAAAATCTATGGAATAAGTATAGTCAATAGATTAGTTTCGCATACGTTTTTTTAATGTTCTGATCATTTACCATAAATGTTCTGATCATGTTATAATAATATTGTAAAGGAAATATGTATTTCCATATTTATATTTTCCATATAAAATTATCAATACATTGATAATTGCATGCGGTACATTTTAAAAGCATTTTTATGCTTCTGTTATATTCACTTGCTAGGCCTATTTCTTTAGTTGCATAATTGGAAAGAAACGTTTCCACATATTTATTGCCATGGTACTCTTAAGGCGAAGATGACGCAAGGTTTGTGATTTCTTGTTTGTTTTATTTCCATTTTTGTTATATTATTGCAAAGACAGTAGTAGGTCAGATGCTAAAATAGACGACTAGCTATTTCTAGGTACAAACACGTACGCTGAAGCGCAGTTCACCACTTCACGTGTGTTCACCTACCTCGCCACTGAAGGACTAGTGTAGTCCGAAAGCTCTGGTTCTATTTCTGGCTGTTTATTTACGTTTACTGTTTAGCTGTTGCTTATCATTTTTGTACCTCTACCGAGATCCAGCCTTTGTTTCCCACAGCATTGTTGAGATGTGTATAAGAGACAGATTACATAGGATTACTGTTTTTCCTAATTT